CAGAGTTTCACTCTGTTGCCCAGGCTGGAGTGCAGTGACACGATCTCGGCTTACTACAGCCTCTGCCTCCCGGGTTCAAGCGATTCTTCTGCCTCAGCCTCCCCGAGTAGCTGCGCTGGCGCGCGCCATCACACCAAGCTAATATTTTTTGTATTTGTTTAGTAGACATGGGTTTTCACCATGTTGGCCGGGCTGGTCTCGAACTCTTGACCTCGGGGGATCCGCCCGCCTCGGCCTTCCAAAGTGCTGGGATTACAGGCGTGAGGCCCCGCGCCCGGGCTGCTTTCGGGATTTCAAGCTAAATTTCTCTTTGTAAAACCTATTCCAGTTAGTTCATTATGCAAAAGGTACCAGGGTTTATCTCTGCTTTTTTGTACTTGAAATAATTCAATTTTATGCAAACAAGTTCGAGACCTTCCTCAACAGGCCACCTTTCTTGTGAAAAGATGTTTACAAGATTTCGATTCAAATCTGCCTTTACAGGTCCTTTTTGGGGCTACCCAAGTCTTTCCCTCCGTCGCGTTCTGCGGGAATGAGCTGCGCAGGGCTCCGCCCGGGCCCGCTCAAGCCTCACCTCTTGCAGCGCCTTCCAGTTTTGAGAAAAGTCTTCTGGTGCCTTTGGAGGTCGCACCACAACACCGGGGCCGCTTCCTGGCTTCTTGCTTACTTCCTGCGCCTTGCTTTTCCAAAATCTTTTTTTCTTCTTGTTTTTCTTCCGAGTGAGCGTCTTGACAGGACCCGGCTTAGCCACCGGGCTGCTCGGGGCGCGCCTGGAGGCGGGGACCTTCGCCTTCACCATCCTGCTGCGGTCCAGCGCCTGGGCCGGCGGCCACCCGAGACCCTGGCCTCCCCGGGCCCGCCGCCGCGGCAGCACAAGGGCCTGCCCAGGCCAGGCCGAAACACACTCACGGCAGCGACCCGGCCCAGGAAAAGGCTCCGGAAGAGACCCCGCACGCGTCCAGCATGCCTCAGAGCGCACGCTCCAGTTCCCGGAAGTGCTCGTCTCTCCGCAACCGGCTGGAAACCCTGCCCCCGCCTCTGGTTCCGCGCAGCCTGGGCGGTTCGCCCGCACCGGACTTGGGCCGCCGTCTTAGCCAGCAGCATCCGGGGTCATCGACCTCGAGTTTGAATGGGCAAGCCGAGGACCTCCCCCAAGATCCGGGATGGGGATGAGAGATGCGGACGCCACAAGGGAACTGGTGGGCCGCCGTGTGTGTAGCACCGGGTGGGGCAGCAGCGCGTGGGGGCACTGGGCGGTCGGGCTAGTGAGAGCCGGGCTTGGTCCCTGGACTGCGTCCTGGACTCTCGGGCCTTTCCCGCCTTGGGCTGCTCCACGCTTAGCCTCACAGCGGCTCATCTTCTATATACAGTGGGGAAACTGAGGCCCAGGCACGGGGAGGAGTTCCCGCCAGTTTACTGTGAAGCAGGAGGAGCCGCAGACAAGAAACCCTCAGACACTAAATTGTAGAAGGAAAGGGCTTTATTTAGCTGGGAGCATCTGCAGACTCAGGTCTCCAAAAACCGAGCTCCCCGAGTGTGCAATTCCTGTCCCTTTTAAGGGCTTACAACTCTAAGGGGGTCCGTGTGAGAGGGTCGTGATGATTGAGCAAGCAGGGGGCACGTGACTCGGGGCTGCATGCACCGGTAATCAGAAAGCAACAGAACAGGACAGGGATTTTCACAATGCTTTTCCATACGTCTGAAATCTATAGATAACATAACCAGTTAGGTCAGGGGTCAATCTTTAACCAGGCCCAGGGCGCAGCGCCAGGCTGTCTGCCTGTGGATTTTATTTCTACCTTTTAGTTTTTACTTTTCTTTGGAAGCAGAAATTGGGCATAAGACAATATGAGGGGTGGTCTCCTCCCTTAACCTCTGTCTCCTGGGTTCAAGTGATTCCCCTGCCTCAGCCTCCTGAGTAGCTGGGATTACAGGTGCACGCTACCATGCTCTGCTCATTTTTGTATTTTTAGTAGACCTGGGGTTTCGCCATGTTGGCCAGGCTGTCTCAAACTCCTGACCTCAAGTGATCCATCTGCCTTGGCCTCCCAAAGTGCTAGTATTACAGGTGTGAGCCACTGTGCTCAGCTGGGAGTGGATAGATTTGATGTGCATGTGTAACAGGCAAAGGTTGATGGAGTAACAGGGAAGTGAGGCTCCTAGGATTTTGGTCTGAGCAACTGGGTGTGGCCATTTATCATCTCAATAAATGTCTGCGGGAGGCAGGGTGAAGTATGGGAGTGGAGCCATGAGCTCCTTTTCACACTTGCTGAGTTTGAATGGGCAGTCACCAACAGAGATGTCTAATCAGCAGCAGGATCTAAGATTCCTAAGCTTAGGGAAGGGTCAGTGCTGGAGATGTAGTTTGGAAATTGTCAGCATATAATTAGTGTTGAAACCATGAGCCTGGGTTAGTTCATCCAAGGAGAGAGTACCACTATAGGGAGTGAAGGGCTAAGGCCAGATAACAGGTGCTTGGGGCTCTCCAGGGGCGAAGCAGCAGAGGAGGCTGAGGGGGAGCAGTCAATGTTGTGGGAGACGAGGTGGATATGAGTGGCATTAGAGAATCCAGGGGGAGAATAAACCACATCAGATGCTGCTGAGAGGCTGAGAAAGACGAGGACAGAGAGATGGGAACCAGATATGGCACTGAGATTGTCAACAAGTCCACTGAAAAGGATTTTCTTTTTTTTTCTTTTTTTTTTTTGAGACAGAGTCTTGCTCTGCTACCCAGGCTGGAGTGCAGTGGTGTGGTATCAGTTCACCACAATCTCCACCTCCTGGGTTCAAGCAATTCTTCTGCCTCAGCCTCCCGAGTAGCCGGGACTACAGGTGCACGCCACCATGCCTGGCTAATTTTTGTATTTTTTTTTGAGATGAAGTTTTGCTCTTGTCACCCAGGCTGGAGTGCAATGGCGCAATCTCGGCTCACCGCAACCTCCACCTCCCAGGTTCAAGTGACTCTTCTGCCTCAGCCTCCCAAGTAGCTGGGATTACAGGCATGTGCCACCATGCCCGAATAATTTTGTACTTTTAGTAGAGATCGGGTTTCTCCATGTTGGCCAGGCTGGTCTCGATCTCCAGACCTCAGGTGATCCACCTGCCTAGGCCTCCCGAAGTGTTGGGATTACAGGCGTGAGTCACCACACCTGGCCTAATTTTTGTATTTTTAGTAGAGATGGGGTTTCACTATGCTGGCCAGGCTGATCTCAAACTCCTGACCTTGTGATCTGCCTGCCTCAGCCTCCCAAAGTGCTGGGATTACAGGCATGAGCCACCGCACCCGGCCCGGGTTTTCTTTTTAAAAAAGGAAAAAAAACTTTGTTCCAGGAGTTTACAAACCAGGGCGATGCAGCCTTCTGTGCAAAGGTGCATTCCAGAGAACGAAGAAAGAGGTTGTCTTTTGTAGAGAACTTCTGCTCAAGTTCCCACTTTGGTCCACTTAAGCAAATGAGGAAGGCACACTTGCTTAGTTCTCACTGGTTAATACTTGCTGAGCTCAGATTGGTTGATGTGGGTCACAGTCGATGGGTTGATTCTGGTGGCATAAATAGGAACAGACAGCTATGAAACCATCCCAGAGGTAAGCGAGAGTGGGGGCTTTCCAGGAATGCAGAATGTGTGTGTGACCCTAGTCAGCAAATGGCTTCTAGGTCCTACTTTGAATTTAGACCCAGTTAGTGACTTGGGAACCATCATGAAGGATTGGCTCTTTCAGGGTTCACAAAGTTATTGGTGACCTTGTAAAGATTAATTTCAGTGGGATGTGGGAATTGGAGGCAAGGAAGTGGAGATAGCTACTGAAAATAATGTTTCCAAGTTCTCAAAGAAAGACAGAAACAGGGCTATGGTGGGAGGACAGTGCGGGTCAAGGGAAGGTTGTTGATTGTAAGCAAGAGACACCAGAGTGCCTGGGTGTGGTGGGGCTCATGCCTGTAATCCCAGCACTTTGGGAGGCCGAGGCGGTCAGCTCACCTGAGGTCAGGAGTTTGAGACCAGCTTGGCCAACATGGCGAAACCCCACCTCTACTAAATATACAATAACTAGCCAGGCGTGGTGGCAGGCACCTGTAATCCCAGCCACGAGGGAGGCTGAGGCAGGAGAATTATTTGAACCTGGGTGATGGAGGCTGCAGTGAGCCGAGATCGTGCCAGTGCACTCCAGCCTGGGTGACACAGCAAGACTCTGTCTCAAAAAACAAAAACCAAAAAAGAGACAGCAGAGTCATGTATGCTGATGGGGTGAGCCAGGTACTAGGATCTCGACATCTAAGCATGCCCTCTTCTCCGAGAGCCTCCTTACGTTCCTGCATAGAAGCACACCCTCCCCTTCAGCCCCCCATTCCTTTATTCTGCTGTATTTTTCTCCATGACACTTACCACCTTTGAACAGACTACATACACAACACGTGTTTGTCTAGCAACTGTGCTGTCTGGCTCGCTTTCCTAGAATTTAAGCTGTGAGAGGCTGACGCTGCTGTCTGCCTGGCTCGTGGCTGCTTTCCTGGTGTCTAGCACAGAGCCTGGCCTGTTTCAGGGGCTCAGTGAAACATTTGTTGGCTGAAGGAATGAATGAATGGCTCTAGCAGAGGGACAGAAACTAACGATGCAGGAGAAGAGAGCTGGGAAGGGATCCAGAGCCAGGGCCTGGCAGGGAGTGTAGTAGGTGCGTCCTCCCTGATTGCAGAGGAGGAGCGAGGCTGCACTTTGAGGGGTGGAAACACAAGGTGTATCCCCCTGATGGTCATCAGCTTGTGCGGCTGTGTGGGTGTGAGGGGTGTAAAAGAGTGGTTTGGAGCATGTGAAGAGAGCCTTCCAGGAGGTGAGGGGGATTTTGCCAGGCGGTTTGTGATGATGCCGAGATCTGGTGCTATGCAGCCTGCTTCTGCGACTCTCCCCATCAGGCACAGGCACAGAGTAGGCGGAGAGTTGAGCCAGAACCGCGATGTCTTTTGCACAGCCTTTCATCTGTCAGATGGGAGCGGGGACCCCAGAGAGAGAGCCAGCCCAAGGTCCTGGCATCCTCGTGAACCCCCGTCTGCGGGTTTCTGGTCCAGTGTCCCTTCTAGATGGTTAGGCCTCCTCTGAGGAGGTGGGTGTGCACATCCGGAGAGCTCTCTGGAGTGCAGGACTGGGCTGCAGGGTACCCTGAACTGCAGCCATCTTAGAGCAAGGTCCAGGCTGCAGCAGGAGGAGCTGCAGGCCGCCCACCCTAGCCACGGCCCCTGCCCTGGCAGGAAGCTTCCAAGAGTAAACACTGCCTAATCGTCCCGCCCAGCGAGCAGGCCTGTCCATTCCACGCTGGCCAGAGTCCCAGTCACCAAGGCCCCCTCTCACTCTGCTCCACTCTGCAGGCTGGCTCTCCTGAGGATGCGCCAGCGTCACCCCCGGGCAAGATGCCCTTCCCTCTGTGTGGCCGGAATCCTTGCCTGTGGCTTTCTCCTGGGCTGCTGGGGACCCTCCCATTTCCAGCAGGTGGGCGCATTTGCAGGAGCGGGGGTATTCTGGGAGCCTCTCGGTGGGGTATTCTGAGCTACCTGGGGCGAGGGGAGTGCCAAACAGCTGACTACATCAGCTCTGGGGTTTGCGCTGGGCAGGGAAGTCTGCACTTGGGGTTTTGGGGGATGAAGTGTGCTCACTGAAGAGGGAGTCGGTGTCTCAGTACGACCTGCTCATCCAGTGAAGCTGAACAGACAGATACTAGTTTGTCCCAAACTATGTGGGTTGCTCTTCTCTGCCTCTCCCTTCCTCTCCCGCTCCCTGTCTCTGATTTCCCCCTCTCCTTCTTGGTTGGCCTCACCCACCTCCTGCTTCCTGTCTCTTTCTTCATCCGTATCTTTTCCTTCCTTCCTTCCTTCCTTCCTTCCTTCCTTCCTTCCTTCCTTCCTTCCTTCCTTCCTTCCTTCCTTCCTTCCTTC